AGGTTTTGCTGCACACCCAGCCTTCACCCCCTCCTTCCAACAAGTGCACAACTGTTCTGCTTGGCAGTTTCTCCCTTTCCTGCTCTCAGGCCGTGGTGCAGGTCATCTCCATCCCTGGATGCCAGAGTTCCGACCTGGCCAATCAGAGCATGGCATGTACCCCAGTCAACCTATGAGAGTCCATGAACTTTGCCAGGTTGTCAGGGAGAGAAGCTCTCCTTTATCTGGGCGTGGGCAGACAGGCCTGAAGCCTGAGCTGCTGGTGGCCACTAGGAGAGGAGAAAAGCAAGCATAGAAGGGAGCAGGGCCAAGAAGTGAAGATAAACTGCATCTTAGTGACATAGTTGGAGCCCTTGATCCAACTGTACCTGAAGCCTACCTACCTCTGGGCTTTTTAGCTACTTGAGTCACTAGATTATTCCTTCTTGTTTCTCTCTTTCCTTCCTCCCTTACTTTCCTCACTTCTGACTCTTTCTTTTATTCTTAAACTCATTTGAGTTGGGTTTTTGTCCTTTGCAGCCAAGAGTCCTGATAATATCCATAGTATGATTTCAGGAAACAGTGCCAAAGGTAAACAGATTATTACTCCCTTGTGACCCTCTCACCCAGGTCCAGCATCCTATCTACAGAACCAGAGTGTGAGACCAGATCTGCTTCCTCCTCAGCCCAGCAGGCCACAATACCCCAGCCATGAGGGGACCCTTCCATGAGTGTCTCTAGGTCCCAGACACCCCAGACACCACAACCTGGACAAGATGAACACATCACCACCCCACTGCCTGGGAAGCCCCCGCAGATCAACACCCACCCCATTGGGGAAAGAACAGCACAGACACATGGAGAAATTCTGAAATAGGCGTCTGGGTTTTATTCAAAACAACACTGGTGGCGGCTGCCACTTGGTTTCTCTATCCCGGGCCATCTGGGCCATCAGGTACCAGTGCCATCAGCAGCTAGGAGGGAAGTTTATTCACACCATAGAAACTGTACAGTGACTGGGAGTGTGAAAGTCACAGCAGCAGGGCTGGGCCGAGGGCTTCCAGGAAGCGGCAGCCTCTGCCTCCTCCCCAGACCCCAGCTTGGCCCAGGTCTGCCAGGAACACTGATTATTGCACAAAGACAAAAAGAGTATGTGTATCTGGGCTAAACAGCGGCTTCTAAGACCCCAAGCCCTTACACAGCGCAGCAAAGGGGGCCAGGGGTGGCCCTGGAAACAGAAAGCTCCGGGGGGAGGATCTGGGGGGAAGACAGGCAGACAGGCTGATACTGTGCACATTTCGTCCTCCTTTAGGGGGCTGCCTGGTGCAGGAGAAGGCCAGGCAGGGGACAGGAAAAGGGTTTGGCCGGGATAGGCCATGTCCTATCTGTCTTGGGTTCCTCTGTACAGGCCTTGACATGTCCACCAGCCACCACTCAGCAGAGGTCTGCAAACAGCTTGGGTCCAGCACCTGGGTCCCCTCTCTCCCCAGGGCCAGGCCATGTGGGTTAGGGTAAGTTTGTGCTTTTGTGATGGGCAGGCCACAGGATCAGGGAGGGCAGAGGGGCCATTCACCCAACCTTAAACTTTTTGGCTTGTCCTGGCCAGCCAATCACAGCCTCCCTGGTCCCCCATCTCCTATTGCTCATAGGAACAAGCCATGCGCCTGGGATCACCATTTGAGGCCCTCTGGGAACCAGCTCCATCTCCATCTCCACGACTCCCCCAGGCAAAGCTCTCTTATGTGCTCAGCTATTCCCACCTCCAGACACACCCTGCTCTGTTCAGCCCTTGCAAAATCACTCAGGCCAGTCCCTTGGCTTGGACCACACTTCCTATGTGTCTGCTTGTCCTGGGGTCACACAGTTCAGGGTAAAAGGACGGCTTTGTGCCAGACATGCCCAGGATGTGTTCCTGGCCCAGCCACTTACAACCTGGTGACACCAGGATAGCCACTTCCCTGGTCTGTGCGTGGAGCAGCAGTGCACACGGCTCAGGGCCACTGTGCAGAGTAAACAGATGACACTCAAGCCCAGAAAATGGAAGCTGCTGACCAGTGTCAGATGCCATCCCCTTGAACCCCAATCCACCCTCCATATGGTCCCCCCCAGATCCCACTGGCCGTCTTCTGGGCCCTTGCACACACATCGCTCCAGGAACACGCTGCTGTGCGCAGCTCATGTGTGCTGTCTCACTCCACCTGTGACTGCTCGGGGCGACGTGGTGCAGGGCGGGCGGGCGAGGCAGAGCCAGGCGAGCTGCCTGTGCCCTCTTCTTCCCGCAGACAAGCGCCCGGAGAAGAAACAGTCAGCACAGCGGGGGAGGCCAGCGCAAGGCCCTCTGGCGCGGGCAGCTTGGAACATGGGCCCAGCCTCCCCAGGGAGCCCAGGGGCCACTGGGGGTGGGAAGGGACATGACCCCTGGCCCAGCCCACCCCTCACCCTGGAGGTTGCCCTCCTGGGAGGAAGCACAGCATCTGGGCATCACCTTGTATGTCCTCACAGGGACCCCACCCTCTGCCCTTCTGCCTGTGAGGAGAGGGAGACTCCAGAGAGAGGCTCGGGGCAAATCCGGGTCTGACCTCCAGGTCTGCCCAGCTCCCCGCGCCAGCAGAGGCCCGCAGCTGGGCTGTGCTTTCTGAATCCACCTGCTGTGAAATGTGGAGTCGCTGTTTCACATTCTAGGAAATCAGTGCTGGTCTCCCACGGTGCCGCAGCCTCTGCTGCCCGGGCCCTGGGGGACCTTGGGGTGGCCCTTCACCTATCTGGCCGCAGTTCCCTCACATGTAAAGTGGGCCTGATAACTCTTTCCCGACCACTCACCAGCTTTTGGGAAAAGGCTTTGCAGGCCATGAAGCTTGTGTCCCTCATTACCTCCTCCCTTTGCACAGTGCCCAGGCCCCAGGTGTCTCTACGCCACCCCGAAAACACACGGAACCTGTCAAGCACACCACACCCTGCCCCCAACTTGCCGGTCCAGCTGAAAGCCAAGTTTTTTAAGGTCAGGTTTTGGGAACAAGGACAAGAGCCCCTCAGCGGCACCCAGCCGAAGCCATTAAGAAGCTCTCACATAGGCGAAGGGCCCGGTTATTGCTGAAGCACAAAGCCCTGACCTGCGGCCTTTCCCACTCCACGACCTCTGCGTGTCAGCAGACCCCTCTACCACCACGCCCTCAGCCCTCTTCCTCAAACTGACTCCAAGTCCATTCGCTCGCCTTGACCTAAGCAGTATGTCTGCAAAATCACAGATTCAATGTATTGGTTTTTTTCCTAATAAATACTGAAATAAATGCATAACTTTTTAAATAAAAGATACAAGTCTGTGGACCTATTTGGGAAGCACTGCAGCTTTGGGAAAGTGGCGGTGGGGGGACGGAGGATGAAACAGAGACCCAGAGACAGGCAGCGGAGGAGGAGGGAGAATGTGGGTCTTCAGATGGGCGTGTGAAGGTGCTGGGATCGGGGCTGGTCCCAGGGCCCAGGCAGGTACCCCCACCCCAGCTTTCAGTCCTGTCAGATCTCCTTCACCCTGAAACCCATGGGGGCGGGGGCGGGAGGCAGAATTGCTCAGGGGACAGTGGGTTGGGAGTGACCTCCTGAAACGGCTGTGGCTCAGGGTCCAGCTGGGGGTAAAAGGCAATAAGTAACCATGCCACTGACTGGAGCCCAGGAGCCCCGTGGCAGCTCGGCCTGCCCAGAGCAGGCAGGTTCCCTTGACTTCCAAGGGCCTCATCTGCTCCGTGCCCTCCGCTTTTCCTCTCTCGCCTGCAGCCTTGCTGCTCTCAGTCTCCCTGGGGCAAAGCCACTGGGGCTGGGACCTCACCTGAGGCCAAGCCCTCTGCCCAGCCACGGAGCCCCGCTCCACCCCGACCCCTGCCCTAAAAAATATGACTACTCACCCCTGGTTTTTCTAAGAAAGACATCTAACTGGTTGACTAAGAGAGTTTGTGTGCTCTGGGGCGTCTACAAAAGACTGTTCACAACAACTAGGCGGTCAGGACAAGACAGACACCCCGACACGTGGAGGGGCGGGATCTTAGCAGCGTTTCTTCTTTAAAGGAAAAAATGCACCCTGAATTCCACCTCTTCTTCTGGGCCAGTCTCCCCAGCCACGGGACCCTCAGAGACCTGAGAGCCCTCTCCAAGCTACGCTCAGCCCTGGGGGAAGACACCAGAAATCAAGGCTGCCAATGCCCCAGCAGGACCGTCTGGCCTGGATCTCAAGCATCAGGCAAAAGCCCTGCCTGGGCTCCGACCCACACTCCCCAACTTCAGCACTTTCTGGAAGTCATAAGCTCTCAGTAAAAAAAATAAATATATATATATATATGTCTGTCTCTCTCTATGTATATGCATATGTATATACGTATATGCACGGGCAGGACCACACTGGGCCATCTGAGCCTCGGGCACCGGGACCCTGCTCCACCCGCCCCGGCGGCGGCCTGGCGCTGGCCCGCGGCGCGGTGCCCAGGTCGTGGACAAAGTATTGCTGTCTGCCCCCTG